CTGTCTTAATCCAATGCACACTGCATCTTGAGATGTGTTAAAGCAAGGATGGGAAGCCGTTCCCAGCTCGGGAGCCACAGACAGATGTCCGGGCAGCTTCGTAGCATATAAATACATGTTGGCAGCTCATGAACAACTGAACCTGACTTGAATCGCTTCAGAATTGACCGAGATCAAGCGGTGGCAATATATACTGCACTTGTGCAGATGGCGCTTGAACTGCAAAACCAGCAGGTCATGCTGGCCTCTCTGGTGGCCTTACAATATGGCTCTACACACTTGAATGAGGGTGTAGAATCATCCCTGACACCAGCGGACTGAGTACTGGCTAAGCACCAGCTGTCCGATCCCTCCTGATGTTTATCTCAGAATAATAGTAATTCTGTAGAAACTCAACTGTGGCATGGGAAAGGTGCGGTGGCTGATCACACCTCACTTCAGAGGTGCCCTTGGGTGTGTCCAAGACATGCAGAGTCTGTCGGTGAATTCCAAGCCTGTGTGACCCACTGAGCCCCAGGTGGAGCACGCTGGAGCACGAGCGATGGGGTTTGGCGGGTTGGGTGCCTACCGAGATAGACTCAGGGAGCTTCAGAAGGGGGGACGCATGCAACGGGGGAGAGATTTGACCCCTTTCAGCCCCCACCGTCGATGTCCGTGCCGGCGAGGGAGATCGGTGGAGGCTGAATGGGACAGTCTGGCGGCTGCGGTGCCTAAGCAAAGAGGCTCACAAGGGTGGAAATAGGGTGCTGCAACAAAGAGCAGAGAGAGGGGAGCGATTCCAGCCCCCGCCGTCGCGGGTTGCAGGCCGTCCGCACACAAGCGCCCGCAGGCGGCCGCAGGGGGGGAGGGGGGTCCCGGCGGGTGTTTCAATGTTGACTGGGAGGTGCGTAAACCCCCTGCCAGATAGTCAGAAGGGCCGAAAAGGAAGTATTTCCCGCGACGGACGGTAGGCCGGCCTACCGTCCGTTCCATATGGGTAGGCCTTGGACTCGACCGAGTCCGGGACTCAAGGTTTGCCAACGGCTCTATGGCCGCTCTTACTATTAGACCGTACCAGGGTGCAAGGGGGAAATTCTACCAAACGACGCAAGACATTCGTTGTAAGCCAAACTTGAAGCAATGGCAATCCCCGCAGCCTTTTAACCTTCCAAGTGACAAGACGACGTAGATATCCTCCTTATCTCTACGCAAGGTTCTATATGGGTAAGGGGTCTTCATCTTCACGGCCCTACCGGCGACGATGGTATACATCGGTCCTCTTTGGGATCTCAGGGAGAGAAGATCCATCCGAGCTTACCTTCAGGAATATCGCGCGAGTCTGATGCTTTTGTTGAACATATCATGCAGGCGAATAGCAGAGCACTGATGAATACTTTGATCACATTAATATCTGCGTAAAGAACCGGAGACCGAGGCAGAACGCAATGTAGGCAGCCGTCTGATTTATAAATACCCGGGGAATCGACGGGATCGTTGGAGAAAAGACTAAGATATACGGACTTGATTGTCCAAGTCAGCCAGATCGAGAGAAACAATGGGAGGTCGAATGCATGGTACACCGTTCCGTAGATGATCACCATAAATAGCTCATAAGCGAGGAGCTAGGAGAGCCGCAGCAAAGCGAAGTTCTTCCTCGAGTGCCGGTTAACAATGCCAAAAACCGTCCACATGCGTCTCTGGTGTTCGTGGTGCTGCGGCGAAGGGCACACACACAACAAACAAGCACGCGAGGAACGTGTCATCCTACCAGTGCCAGAACCCAACTCTTTACCCTCAGACGTTGAACACGGTATACACCTCGTCAGTTTTGCGAATCACAGGGTCACCACTGTCTTTTTGGTGTCTCTTGACCCACGTGAGCACCCCACCCGCACGGTGGATTACCACCGCTTTACGCCAGGGGTCCCCGATTTCTCTCAAGGTAGGGCACACTTCAAGTAGCCTGCGTATCTTCGTGCCCTGCTCGTCTTGGAAGCATCGGTATCTCTCTCCGTAATCCCCCATCTGCAGATATCCATACCATATGATATGCTCCAGGTGATGGAAGTGGGATAGTGCCCGGAGCCAATCTTGCTCCTGGCGCTATATAAATTTTAGCTTTGTGTGGGTGAATCACGGAATATGACTGACCTCCGATTGAGGGTCAATTGAAATGTCCAGATCTAAGGACAATTGCGTGAGCTGCGGAGCAACACCAGCCAGCTCCAGGAGTTGCGAAGGATGAGATACGTTCGCTAGTCCGACAGATGTGATCGTTGGGTGTGAGCTGATACCTTGCAGCAGCTGCCTCTTCCACGGGGACTGTACAAGGTCCTCCGTATTGATGTCATGCTCTTCCTCCCATTCGAAGTCCCAATGAAAGTAATCACTTAGGCACACCGTGTCATTCAGGTCTATATCGTGCAGTGTTCCCAGGCGAGGCGCTACTGTAGGATCATCAAGTAGAGCAGCGGCTGTTGGTCCGTGACATCCCAGCGTACAAAGATTCTGAAGATTACCCGGGGGAAGAGCAAGTTGCGCCCACCTGTAACCCGGCATCATACACGGGAGGCGCAGCTCCTCCAGAGTGGGGTGACGGCATAGGAAGCTGGATAGGTCGGACGGCTGGCAATTGAGCCCTTCCAAGTATAGTCGGGCCAAGTTGGACCATTGGCCGTCCTGAACTAGAACGTGCGCACTGGCGGTCTCGTCGTGGGAAAATAGCTGCAGGTGTATACGGAGGCTCTGGAGGACAGGAAAGGTGATAGAAGGAGCAATACATAGTGCATAAGTACTCATGGAAGGTGTGAAAAGCAACCAAGACCTACAACGAGATTGGGGCAATTATTGACAAGCATCCTGAGGAGCGGTGTCAGGTCCGGCTCATCATGGGAATAGTCTAAAGCATCGGTGCGAAGATCCAAAGATGAAAGGCCGCTCAAAGACAAGAACTGCAAACGTCACTGATAAGAAGTGGGATCCTAGCATCGACAAATAGCTGTACTTACTGAAGGCGAAGAAACAACAGTGGGCCAGTCGGGTAAATCGAGATCATGCAGATCCAACACGTGCAAGTCTCTGACCGTTCCAAGACCACCGAGCGTTCGCCAAAGGTCATTCCCCTCCTCACAGACAGGGGGAGGAACACGGAACCATCGAAACCGACGCAAATTCACCATGAGCTTCAATGCGGCATTCACGGGAACCGAATCGTATCTCCTGCTGTCCGGTCCAGGATCATATTCGCGGTATTCTGTTGGAAGTCGGAAGTCTAGCGGCAGACTGTCTCTCACGACCGATTGCAAATCCCAGGAGTCCTCGGGGAGGATAGTCAGGGAGCGTACGAGGGACGCACTACGCACGTCTTCGGCGAGTCGTTTCCAGAGCGGCACTAAGCAAAGTGGACCCCGGATGTCGCGATATTGGAGATGAGTTTGGGAAAGAGTCGTAAAGAAGTAGTTGCATGCTAGAGCGAAAGATATGATGTCCTCCCGAGCGTCGATGAAACAGGCGATTTGATCGAGTAGCTCGGGCGGCAGCTCAACGATTCGTGACATCGGTTTTCTGGATAACGCAGATAGATGTAAGCGGCGACGTATAAGCTGATGGAAAGCTTGTAGTAACCGGGAGCTGGACGCACGGCACCAACCTTTGTACTTGAAATCACATTAACCCCAGCCGTAGGACTCGCAGCAAGTCGATCTGGGTTCGAGAATAGCCTGGGATTTAACATGGGATCCAACGCTGATCGATAAATTGAAACACTACTGAGGGAACTGCGAAACTTCGAGCATCATATCTTTCCATTCTCATCCAGACACGGTGTTAGCGAGCTTCAGCTTCTCGATAGATGCATAGCAGAACTGGAGAGTCGAAGAGCTCTGTACAACTACGAGGAAATCTTCCAGCGGAACAAGTACTACTCCGACACAAAAGGTATGCAAGACGAATAGCCTTATGAGCCTATCGAACGATATTAATAAGGGCACTATCATATTCTGGATATCGTGTTAGTTCCTGTCCTTCGTACCAGTGATCTGTCCCCGTGGGCAAGGGGAATTACTACCCAGCTCACGCCTTTTTGGCATAGCGGCTGGCTCCCCTAATCCTCTCTCCATAATACCAGAACAACCAGGGCCTGCAGGAACAGTCAGCACACGGAGACCGCACCATATCGGAGCAAAACAAAGCACTGACGCCGGGCACCCGATCACAATGAGCACGCATGCCAGGATGGTGTCGCCCTTCCCGAACCCGAGAGCCTCGTACATTGCCGGCGCGAACAGCGGGAAGCCAAAGGCAGCCACTGACCGCAGGAACGTCACCGACGCCAGTGCAGAGGCTGCGTGCAGGGAGAACGCGTCGATCACGTATGTGGTGATCGCCTGTGCATTCAGCATCTGCCCAAAGCCTATAAGCGCGATGCCCTGGAATACATCAGTACCGAAAGGAGACAAAGCAAGACGTGGCGCACTATGTCCGGTACGATCCAGTGCACGCTTGGCCGGGCACCCCACCCAGTGATGAAGATTCCTATGGGCAGAACGATGGTGCCAGGGACCATGGGTGCTGTAAGGAGATGAGTCAACTATGCCTGAACAAACTGGGGACGACGCATACGCAACCGATACTCGGGCTTCACGACCCCGTTATTCTTCTTCACATAGTACGCGAATAGTTTGTCCATTAATCGCGCGCATATCTGGACGGAGACCATGAGGCCCAGACCGAGCGCAATGTAGTGCAGCCCGGCGATGCCGACGTCCTCTTTGTAGATACCCTGGAAGATAGACGGAATCGTTGTTAAGAATACTAAACACACAAACAGTCGAAATGATCCAAGTGAGCGAAATGAATAGAGATAAAACAGGAGGTTGGACGCACGGTACATAATCCCATAGATAATCGCCATGTAAACCCCGAGCAGCTGGATGATGGGCTCGTACGCGAAGAGCTGGAAGGGCCGCGTGAGCGCCTTGGCGAAAATCTTCTGCCACTGCCGATCTGCGGTGTCGAACACGGTCCGCACCGGTCTCTGCGGGCCTTTCTCTGCGTCCATGGTCCCGCGGATATGCTTGGCTTTCCGCTGGAGTAGAACGGGTGCGTATGCTGGACACGCTGCGTCAGGAGGAAAGTGACGTGCAGATACTCGTACTCACTTTCTTGTAGGTAGAAGAGTCCAATGCCTTGGATGACTAGGTCAGCCATGGATGTCACCCAGAACTGGGTCAAAACACCGTCATTCGGGTCCAGATACAGGAGCGGGAACGTCACTCACAACCCACCGCCAAGTCGTCCGTTGCGTTATCCACGCACCCATGATGGGTCCGATGATGGGTCCCAAGAGAGGGGCCACAGCATACATGGCGATCGCCTTCCCTCGTTGTTCCGGCGGCCACACATCGCTCAGTACGCCTCCGCCGACCTGAAGGTGTGTGGTGGATATCCTTGGGGCAGTGAAAAGATAGAAACGAGTACTTACTGTGAGCGCGGCGCTACCCCCGAGACCGGCCAGAAACCGGAAGGCAAGGAGCTGCCCGGTGTTTTGTGCGAAGCCACAGCCTAGGTTCCATGCTATACAGGTCCACAGGTCAGTACCTAGCAGCGAAGAAGCAATTGATGTGTTTACCAAGGTACCACAGATTCGCAAACTGCAGTAACCTCGCGCGCCCGTATATCTCACTTATAGGGGCAAGAAACAATGGGCCAATTGCTATACGAGCGAACGGAGATTAGCAGTATTCAGACCCAGGAGCATATGCGAAACGCACCGTACGCGAGCACGAAAATGGATATACTCATAGCTTGCAAGACGGTGCTCCTTATACCGAACTGTTCTGCTATTGTAGCTGCGGCTGGCGCGACCATGGATGAGGACACGGGCGTTATGAAGGAGAAGGCGGAAACTGTGACGGTTGCGCCCCATTTGCGCATGTACGCCCAGCTTCATACGATAGCAAAGGTGGTGAGGTGACTTCATGGAAAGGGGAAGGAAACTTACTTTCGAGGATTTTGTGGATCGTCGGGGCCATCCCAGTTCACTACCACTTCGTCCGAATCTCCTCCGCTGGCATCTCTCAGTCTTGTCGAGCCCTTTTCATTTCCCGAGGCACCATCTACCGTCTTCTCTTGTTGAGGGAGAGCGGGAGCAGAGGAGCCGATATCCTCGTCATTCAGTGTACTCGATGGAGGAAGCTGGCCAAGTGCAGTATCTTCGTTCGAGGTCATTTAGACGCCGGAAATGTTTTTGAGAGACCCGTTCTTCGCGTACTCTTGGCAGCATCATTATATACATGCTGGCTGAGGATCAGACGGTGAGGTAGGAGAGACACTCGACAGGTCGAGGCGGACGACTCGCAGGTGGCGAGCAAAGTGCCGATAGTGTCGGCACTAAGCAGAGATGACTCAGCAGTTTCGTATGAGCGTTCGCGATGACTTTCCTCCTCCATCGAGTCGACCAGTCGACCTTTTCCAGGAGCCGCTCGACCACGTATGGCACCGTAACATGCGTACGAAATATACCCCGCTGCCTGTGCACCATCTAGGGTACAGGGAGCTGGAAGTTTCTCCGATTTTCCCTCGCGGCCTTGATAGAATAGGTGCTTTCGACACATCTATTAATGCGGTGGATGGTCCACGGGACCTGCAGCTGCGACTCGAGGCTACGACTGTCAACGATAGGAATATTAATGCTCTTCAGCTCTTCAGGTTGGAAAACCATAAAAAAGTACCTTGGACGCACCCTCTCCTCCCGACGGATCTGTGGTGGTCTACAGCTTGAATATCTCGAGTTACGGCTGGCCAGGCTCAGCGTCGCATCGCCCCGATCCCGCGGAAACGGCCCGAGACGCGCTTTCCAGCCGCGGCGCCCTCTTCAACGTGCATACCTGCTCTGTGCTCCTCCTCTCGGCAACTCTGATGTCTCATTCACGCCCCCGCCTCCTGTGCGAGGAGACCACCAAGAGATACAAATGCACCTTCGGACGACGAGATCGCTCGGAGTCCTAGGGAACGGCGACCCTGCAGATAATCCATGCAAATTGATTGGGTACGTCGAACTGAATCCGCTTCATAGGCGGGATGACACACTCATGCTAGCGCTAGCACCGAAGCACGACCCGCTGGGTTGCATTAGCACGAAACCTGTACAGTCCGCATCAATCGCTAGAATTACCGGGGCAAGCGTCTTACCACTGATGCTGATCTGCGACTCCCTCGAGTCCAAGCTAATCGGGGATTCGAGATCTCTACGTTGTGGACTCGAGCACTGCAGGCTCGGACAAAACCGTAGCTCCACTGTTGGTACTGCTGTAGGCGCGCTGCTTTCGCTCGGGCGCCTTGGGCGATCGATGTCCTTGCATCGTATGCAATACACATTACAGAGTACACAGGTAAGGTATAACTGAGCAACCAAGCGAGTCCTTGTCCCAAAACCAAAGGCGACAAACAATTTCCTCTCCTCTCTCGTTCCATGCATCCCAACCTCTGGCCCTCCCGCTGCGGTCCTCCTTCCCCTCTTTGCTCCCAGTGTTCACGGACATGGCGTTATTGCGCCGCCACGACGCCGCACGCGCCGATAACGATGCTCGCCTTGGGCCGCCAGAGGATGTCGTCCGACGCGTAGCCCTCGATCTTGCGCACGACGTCCATGCCCTTGACGACCTCGCCGAACACGACGTGCTTGTAGTCGCACCACGGCGCGGGCGTCGTCGTGATGAAGAACTGCAGGCGCATACACGGGTGTGAGCAAGTTGGAGGTGAGATGCGAAGAGGTGAAGCGTGTAAGCAGGTGGAAGAACATGCAGGTGGGGGGTCGCGTGCGAAGAAGAGGAAGAAGCGGGTGGGCAAGTCGACAAGACGACATCTCGCCCGATGAGTAACTAATTTGGAGAAGAAGCCAAGCGTACCTGGGAGCTGTTGGTGTTGGGCCCGCGATTGGCCATAGATAGCAGGCCTGGTCGGTCGTGCTGCAGGAAGAAGTTCTCGTCTGGTCAGGCGGTCAGCGGGGCCGTTCGAGGCGGTGTTTAAGTTGGGTGTGTATATATGGTGACATTCATCAGGAGGGAGGTCGGCATGGCGTGTAAGTTGATGTTGTGTGTAAGGGAGACTCTGTCGGTATGGAGGAGTGGAGCGTGGATGAGAGGGGCCGCACCTGCAAAGTAGTCTCCGTATATCGACCGCCCGCCGGTGCCGTCTCTGCGCGTGATGTCCCCGCCCTGGATCATGAACTGCATGTGTGTGAGTACAAAACGAGACTCGGTGCAAGCACTGCGGGCCAGGGATCGATGTCCGCCGGCGAACTGCAAAAGGCACATCTGGACCAAGAGAACATTCTCATGTCTCGAGCATGCAGAATGACCTTAGAAGGAATACAACAGGTCTATGGGGCACAGACAATGCTCAAGTGTTGTTTCCTTCTCTAGTTCATTCTCATGCTCCGCTCACGCACATTCAAGAAATGCGTTCTCTCGCGCGAGAGAGTGGGACGGGGATGGTTGCCCACAGTGAAGGGGACACTCACCTGCGGGATAATACGGTGTATGGATGATCCCTGGTAACCATACCCGTGTGCACCGATGGTGAGCTCGCGAAAGTTGCGCGCGGTGATGGGGCAGTACTCGTCGTAGAGCTTGAAGACGATGCGGCCTGCAGGCGCGGAGTCTATAGTGATGTCGAACTGGAGTGGCGAGAGCGGGCGATGGCGGGAAACAAGTGCACATCAGCGGTGATAGCGAGAGGCGAGGGAGCGTGATGGCGGGAATGCACAGTGGCATTGACGTGACCCGCCCACAGACACACACGCACGCGGTCAAGACCAGATCAGCTTCGCGTTCCCACTCGCGAGGGAACGGCTGGACGTACGTAGACGTTTGGGAGGGTGCCGCTGGGGTTCATGCGTGCATCCCAGTAGCGCAGTGCGGGGTAGGTCGTCTGAACTCTGTCCGCCACAGCGCGCAGATATATCTGAAGCACTCACGACGTCATAGTCTGGGTGCGCGTCGACGGCATCGTGGCGTCGCAAGCTTGTCGCCGCTGTGCGGGACGACGGGCAGGGCTGGCGGGGACGACGAGGGCGCAGGTAGGAGGTGGGCAAGGCGCGAAAATAACATTTCTTAAATTCGGAGGGGGCTGCTCGTCGGGCTGAATGGGACGTGGGGGTGCGTCTCGGCGTTCCCCGAGATCGACAATCTCAGAAGCAGGCTCGCGCTCGGCATCCCCCGCTGCTACTCTAACCTCGACCTCGGGCCTCACGCCAGCGTAGGTTCTGCGCATGCGCGGTATATTACCGCCCCCTCTCGCTCACACGCTACACCTAGTCTCTTGGTTAACGGACAGATGGCACTGGACGGGCGGGCGGCTTGCCATACGCATCGCTACCCGCGAACGCGAGCACTTACGCTCGGTGCTGCATAATGAAGCGCGATCGATGGTGCCGCGGCAAGCCCCGCAGAACAAGGGAATAAAGTAGCGAATCAGATCCATATCCACGCGCGGAGATCGTTTGTGTGGCGGTAATGAACCCAGCCAGCTGCCCAGAGCGAAGTCCGCCCGAAACGGCGCCATAAAATCCGAATACCAAAAACCTGCCAACGGGCGGCAGCGGGCGAGGGGTTCTTTCTTCTGAATCCTCGGGCCCCGTTCACATCTATCTCTAGCAAGATCTCTTTCGCGTCACTCGAGGAGTTGGTACTTTCAAGTTCCTTTATTCCTTGCCAGAGTTCGGGTGCATTCGAGTTCTCTACAGGGTCGCAGGATAATGAGCGCGGTGGGTGTCATTATCCGGAGAACATCGCATCGGGAGGCGAGTCCGCGCCCCTTCGCCTCTGAACTCTCCAGTGCCACCAGCACGCCGGATCTCTCCGGTACACGGTGTTGCCCAGCAGATGCCAGTGCTTCGGTTCTGAGCCGCTCGTATGTATGCGCGAAACGCGGCCCTGCAACAGCATGGTTGCCATTACCACCGCTGTCACCCCGGCCCCATGTCGCGCAAGCGCCGAGGTGGAGCGTATAGCGATGCAGGACGTGGACGTCCAGACCGGGCCCTATTTATCGACCGCCGGGCCCTATGTACCACATACAAGGATAGGGTATAGAAGCTCAAGGGTCTGTAGTATGTACTGCATACCGTTCGGTGGCTTTCCCTACGTGAGAGGCGAGCGGCGAAAGCTGAGGAAGGAGATGGGCGTCGGCGTAAGGCGGGGGCAAACGAACCGGTGGTGTAAACCTGCCTTTCACAGTATATATTCGGTTCGGGCAATGGATGAGTCGCATGAAGGCGAGGCTGTGAAATCGAAGGAGGGGGCCTAATAACAGAACAGCGAGGCTTGACTGACTTGCTTACTTGCTCGGGATCAGACAGACTATGATGGATGACTTGACAGATGTCAAGAGGACCCGTACTTTATAATACGCCGGCTTGCGTCATGACGCCTTCGAACCTACAGATGTGTAAGTACACTGTTCCAGGAAACAAGGGTAGAAGGTTATGATGAACATGAAATCCGAAATCAGACCTTGCCGTAAAATTGATTCCTCGAGATCGGAGTGAGACATGGACATCAGATTCACGGTCCTTCACATTGGCCCGGAACCACCGCCTACCATGGCACACGAGCGAGTCGGCATCTGCGGGAGAGCTCTGTCCCGGACACTGTGAAGGTCTCGATGAGTGTCGTAAGGCTCGGGGATGGTCCACGTCTTTGATCAGGAACAGTACCAATGCAAGGTGCGTTAGGGATTCGAATTGAGTCGAACCACATACACGCCCAATGCGTCGTAAGGTTCTCGTGAGGTCGCAGCCGAGGTCTCGCGTCGACCTTGCTTCGGAAGGCCCGATAGACCCCGACGTGACCTTGTTTCGGCATTTCTGCCCAGAGATGTGTGCGCCATCATTTGAGATGTCAGCGCTAAGGTCAGAGCGGCGTCTTCTTGAGACTTAGCGAGGGACATCTGAGCAAGACCGCCCTGATACCGAGTTGACATCCTCTTTGGGCTTTACTGGACATTAGCTCATAACCTCAGGTAGAGATGATACCTTGCGCTGCATATAAAGGCTGTACCTTGGACTACAGGATAACTTGAGGCCTCGAAGTATTTTAGGTATTAATAATATTGATTAGATGTAGTACTACGGCGTAAGGAGTGCTACACAAGTCCCCACTATCCGTTTGTGGGACTTAGAGAAATATCAAGGACGGGACGTGTCTGACGCGAACTGAATTCGAGCGGAGATTGAACTCGAGCGACTTCACCCGTG